GATTGCCTGTCAATTGTGGAGAATATAATTTCGCCGACACCTGTTTGTTGGGTCAGCCCTTCGACCGAACAGCAGGCGTCGGGATTCAGATTTGGCAGATCTATGACCGATAGAAATGTTGCCCCTCTTATTGTCTCACAGCTGTTGTCGTCCACATAACCCACTGATATTACATTTAGATTGCCTTTTAATAAAANCGACCGAACAGCAGGCGTCGGGATTCAGATTTGGCAGATCTATGACCGATAGAAATGTTGCCCCTCTTATTGTCTCACAGCTGTTGTCGTCCACATAACCCACTGATATTACATTTAGATTGCCTTTTAATAAAATTTAATTATTTATTAAAAATGGTTTAGATTGAACTTGTTTTAATTAATAAATCAAATCATACCATCTCTGCGGGTCTCGTTGATAAAGCTATGGCTGAGAACAGTGGCGATAGGATAGGGACTGTTTTTCGTTGTGATGCCATATATCAGGTTTGAAGAGTAGGATCTCTCGTAATCGCAAACGTGTGGATACGGAATATTCTTGTAATTCAACTCTAATTTCACGAGTTTTGCCTTACAGTCGGGATTACATGTGAATATTTCGCTCATCGACGCGTTGTATACTTTATAATTAAAATTATTATTTATGTTTTAACTAATTTAATAATAAACACCTCTTTTATGGCCACTTTTATACTCTTTTTCTTCAAACGATTCTTCTGGATATTTATCTCTATATTCGCCCAAAACTTGGTTTAAATAATAAAAATATTAGTACACTTATACTTACATAATATAAAGTAATATAATTACCATTTAATATAATAAATGCTTCAAAAATAAATAAAAAACCTAATATTTTCATGTTTGTTAAAATCTTTTTGTTATTTTATAATTCTAAAAAATATATTAGACTTGTATATAAAATAGGGCTCTGTTCATAACAATGCAGAATATATATAACACAAAATAATGGTTATATTTGACACATTTATTAATGACATATTAAACAAAAAACATATGAATTAAATGACCAAGAACTTATTCTCATATTTCTCTATTACAATGACATAAATATCTATTTTAATTTTGCTACACTAACGAGTAAGTCTGCTATTATTCACTATTAGCTATATAAAAAAAAGTTTGTAATTAACTTATATAGAAAATTTAAAAAACTCTAATTCATTGTACTTATTATTAGTTTTAAAAATATTAAAATTCCATGTTTTAAGAAATAAATATTAATTTTATTTAAATTTATTTTTAGCCCAATTTGTCAACAAATATCTTTCGTTTGTTATTATATTTAAAATAATTCTTGAGTTTGGGTTTGGGTTGCGTTTCTTCGACCGGTTGTACAGTGCCTTCATTGGTGAGCACATCACTGGCCACGAGTCCGGGGCTGTACTGCACTGTAATACAGCCCAAACAGTCAACGAGTCTATTGCTCCTTATTTTAGTAATAATTGAGTCCAAATCCATGATTGATAGCAAGTTTTGGACGTCCAGATTGGCGATGATCTTCTCACTGGAACCAACCAATTGAGTCACACCGGGCTCTGACTGACAACTATATGGACTGAAGTTTGGCAGATCCAGGATCTCGAGGTATGCGTCGCCCAACAGCGCCAGCGGACCCTTAATCACAATACCAATCGCTATGCCGTAAAAACTTCCTGAAGACAATATTTTGTAATCACAATAAATAATATATATTTTGTGTAATTTATAACAAATGTTACCTTCATTTCTGAATCCATTTGAATAGAGTATCCGTACGTGAGTTGCGTTGGGAGCGGTGTTTGAACCAATATATACGCCAAACTCACTCAAGTCATCCTCGTATCGGTCAAAGAGGTCGATGGCATCGCACGAGTCCAGTGTCTGATACCGAGCCGTCTCTTCAATGCGGACAATATTGGCCGATAAGGGCTCGCATTCGTCTAAGATCTGCTCCAGCGTTGCCGTCGTGTCTGTCATATAATAATCAAAATCAATTGTAAAACAAACCAACACTTAAACGTTCAAAAATTATCACCTCGTTTCTGGACCAGAGAAATGGGATAGAGCTCTTCGAGCACCCGGTCGTTGATAAGGCCGGGCGTATACGTGAGAATAGTACAGCCAACACAGTCGGCCACACTATACCGCCTAAACATTGCCACCAATTGGTCGGACGTGTACTTCTCGTACAAACTATTGATACGTCGACTGTCTATCTTCGCGAATATGAGTTCGCCGACACCCGACTGTCGGGTCAGACCCTCTATGGAGTAACACGAGGCGGGATTCAAATTAGGCACGTTATACACCACGTAGAATGAGGTCTCCA